AACAATTTAAATAATTCAATAATAATCACTTTATAAGAGATCTTAAATTTAAATCACATGACATACGGGTGTAATGAAATAAAAAATGAAAAAAGATTGTCTTTTGTTATATAATCAATCATAACAAAAAAAAAAAAAATACTATATCTAAAAATTTTTAAATTAAGTATTAAACATGACTCATACCTAATCTACATCAGATCCCGCCTACATCAAACTAAGGTTGTTATCACCATAGTTTGAAAGGTTTGTATCAAATTGACTAAAAAAAAAAAAAAGTTTGGGAATTAGGACACGAATTGAAATACTAAAAATTAAGTCAAAGTCCAGGACGAAATCGACTATTTACAACTAGTTTAGTTGGACTTTCTGAAAACAGTTTCGTGTTGTATGTAATTTGTAGAGCGTAAAATAGAATTGATTGAATAGACATAACACTCAAATATGTCTCTATCAATTTATATAATAATTTATATTATATAATATAATTTATACAATATTTTTATTATAAAAATATAAATATATACTTAAATTAATTTTAAATTAACCTTCAAATCTAATATTTCGTACCTTAAATTTCAGTACTTGATTTGAGTATTTTTAACCATTTTTTTATAAAAATAATAGTTACAAAGTTAGTTTAAATTAGTTGTTAGTATTTAGGATTCGATTCTTAAATTAGGTGAATATTTCACCTTCTCAAATGAGACACACAGTCATTGGACCATTTTTTTGATAAAATTCACAATAATAAAACTTAAAATTTCGATCACTTTCGATAAAATTCACAATGATAAAACTCAAAATTTTAACCATTTTCATTCAAATACTTAAAATTTGAGGTAAAACTATTGAGTTTAAAGGGCGATTGTTCTAACAATTTAACTCCAAAGAACGACTTGACAAAAACTTTCCATTCTCTAAAATTTTTCTCATGTTAAAAAAAACAAAAAATACTATTAGTAAATAATGACTATAAATTATATTCTATAAATTATCAATTAATAACGGCTTGTTTTTAGCTTCCCTTACAAATCACGAGAAGTAACGTGTTTCCTGACATTTCAACTACGAGTTATCGACAACTTGGCTTTGTGACTCACACTCTCTGTCTTCTTCGTGTTGGTCAACCCATTGCTCCCCTCAGTTGTTTAGGAACTCAGATAGTACCACACTGATCGGTATTAGGTACTGCATTAAATGCTATTTTATAAACAGTCGTTTTCAATTCCTCTATATTTCAACGTTGTCTGCATTTATCTCGCTTTTAGGAGTAGAAACCCTTTTCGAAGATCCTTGTAAAAATGTTGAAATCAGTAGTAGCCACATTTTTTCTGATTTTCCTGTCTTTGTTCTTGCTATTTTTCTTGTGTTTACCCACTGGTTTTTCTGTTTTGCATAATTCAGTTTCTGGGTCTCGACCAATCTTCAGTTCCCACCTTGATGTCCTGAATCACAGTCTCAATTTGCATATCCACAGCTTGTTTCATCTTCAACATGAAAGTTCTGTAAGGTGGTTTATTTTTTTTCCATATAAGCAGTTTATTGTTTATCTGTCATTGACTTGATTGATTGTTTGGAAGTTGATGCTTAATTTTTCTACATTATGATATCATCAGAGCACAGAAGTACCATATTCTGGGGAGAAAGAAGCTCACTTTCTAATTTTAATTAAGTATAATTGTAAAATTAGAACTATAACTATGGGTTCTTATGTTCTCATGTTGCTGAAATGATTATAACTTCACTGCAACTGAAGTACTGTAAAATTTGCTCATTAAAAAGTTTAATTTGAACACAAAATTGTTGTAGTCGTTCTCTTGTATTTGTGCTTGTGGGTTTGCATCTCCTGTTTGTATTATCTATTTTATAAACTCAAAATGTCTAAAGGCATGCTGGAAACATATGCAGAAAAAGAGCTGGAATATTTGAGAACAATACAAAGTCAGTCCCTCAAAGTTTAAGCACGAAGGAAGATTGTTGCATTCAGGGGCCAGTAATTGAGGAATTTACATTTCCGGCTGGTTCTGCTCCATTCAACAGTTGTCATGCCTCTACCATTGTTGAGGTTAAACAGTTTAATTAAGTTTCCATTTAGTGTTCCTTTGTGGACCGAAGTTAACTGGATTATTACTGTTGTGAAAGTTGAGCAGGTTGACCCAGGTCACTTTTTGGTTGCTTACTTTGGGGGAAAATCTGAAGGAGCGCCTGATGTCAAAATTTGGTTGCAGACATACAAGGTTATTATCTGACTTATTTTTGAAAAATATGAGAATTATGTGTCGACTTATTTTTTCTTCTTTGGATTATGCCTCCAGTAAATTGCTTCTTCATTGTTTTCCAGCAGTTGTTATGAATCTTTCCCTGATGCAGCTGTGTTTATTTACTACTTGCTATGGCCTGGACCACCTGGTGGCATATGCCTCCAGTGAAGATCTGCTATTCAAATAACATTTATCATGTACATGTAGCAAGTTTAAATAACACTGTCTAACTCAAACCATTGGTAGGTTAATCTAGAGTTTGAAACAATACCGTCTCCATGGCCAAGTGGATAAAGATGAAAATGTTTCTTACCTGTTTCCTTTTTCCATCATCTTTTCCCTATGTAGTATGACCATGCTTTGGTTCCTAAATAATTCTATACTACTTGTATATCAGCCAGGCTCCTAACTGCACACAAACATATGTGTGTTATATGCTCGCAACTTTTGTCCCCTCGTGGATGTCCCAACTGTTAGGACCTTGAGCTTTCATGTTGTAGGTCTTTGGTTTGAACCTTGGGATGGGTGGAAAGGGGTTCAGCAAGGGGGCCATCCCATGTTGTATAACCTGTCATCAGATCAGATGTGCCAAAAAAATGCTCTCTAATTTTTCATTTTTTCTGAGCTCTTTCCAGTTCCTTCTTAATATGCTGTAAATATGTTTGCATTCATATTTTTTGTCTTCTATGAGTCTTCTTTATCATGTAAGAATGATATTCTGTTTGGCAGGATGGCTACTGGCATCAACCAGTTGTTGCTGATGAAGAAGCTAATGTTCCATTGTGGAACCCTGTACTATTTAAACTTCCCTCTCAGGAGTTGCTGTTATTCTATAAAATAGGCCTGGATTTTCAAAGGTAAGGGGAAAACACCTCTGCTTTTTTAAGTGTTGTTTGTGAACTATGTTTGTCAGGTATAATGACATTTTCTGGTTTTGCTTTACTTTTGGGCTTTATAGGTCTCTTTCACTCAATCATACAAAGCTCACTCTTTTTGTTGTTATGATTTGAATAAGCTAAATAACTTTTAATATCACATGTATAATTGTTCAATTAGAATTGAATCCTTGCAATGATATTCCATACAAATTTAGTTCTTGTATTTTAGACAAGATTATTATGTAATAATATTAAACTTAGTAACTAAAACCTGGTTGGACTGCAATTATAGTTTGATAAGAACCATACAGGAATCTTTAAATTAAAGTCAGATAGGTAAAGACAGAGCAAAATCCTGTCTTTTATAGTTTGCTAACTATATTTCAACTATGGAATTAGTTTTTTTTTTTTTTTTTAAAAAAAAAAAATTGATGGAATTCAAATTTGGAATATATGCAATATTTTAAATCTGACTTAGAGCCACATTACATCAGTTTCATGTTTTCTGAGTGCCAAATATCCCTGAACACGTACCACCAAATTATTCTTGAGACCTTGGTTAAGTCTTTTATTTTCTTAACAGCTGCATCTCAAATGTGAATAAAGATAACCTAAAAGTTTCCATTTTTATTCATGTTTTAGAAATGTAATTGGATGTGATTACGTTGTCAGTATTATCTATGTCATACTATCCTGATGTCTAGGCTTATAGCAGTTGACAATGCAAGTTTCTTGTCTTTGCTCACTTCTGGCTTAGTAAAATTCAGGTGGAGTGGGTGCTTGAAGAGATCATATGATAAAGGCTTGAATTGGACAGAAAGAGAACAACTTCCTCCTGGCATTGTAGGACCATCAAAGAACAAGGTTTGAAGAATAATAAAATAGTTTTAAAATTTTAAAAGTAATAGTTCTAATTATAGTATTACTGTTGTTGTTCTTGGTTGTGTTGTTGTTGTTCCATGTGTAGCTCAGCTAGTTTCATTTCTCACATATGTAGTGTACTAAAAAATATCATTATTGTTATACCCCAGTATATTATGAATTTTGAAACCTTGCTAAGTTGCCCTCTTCATAGGCTATTTACTTCTCTGCAGCCTATCCTGCTGGAAAATGGGCTTTTGCTGTGTGGATCCTCAGTGGAGAGTTGGAACTCTTGGGGTGCATGGGCGGAGGTTGTCTTATATTCATGTCTTAACCACATGAGCAATTACATTAAGCAATCGTCTAATATTCACTGACATTTTATTTTTTTGATTCACATTGAACAGGTCACTGCAGATTCTGGTAGGACCTGGAAAAAGTATGGCCCAATATATCTTAAAAATGAATCTCTCAGTGTGATTCAACCAGTCCCTTTTATAACTGTGAAGGGAACCCTGCGTGTTTTACTGAGATCCTTTACTGGCATTGATAAAGTTTGTATGTCAGAATCCTATGATGGTGGTCAGAACTGGGATTATGCAAAACCTACTGCTCTCCCCAACCCAAACTCAGGTTGGTGGCTAATTTATGTTTCTTTGCATGATGATAAATGGTATGCTGAAATTCATGTTGAAAGTTAGTATCATGACTTGAGTTCACCTGGATAGGCTTGCTTTTACTTGAGAGAGGTGTGTGAATCAGAATGCATTGTTACAGAAAATTTTATTCTAGTTTATTAGTTACCAATTTGGTGAAGTCTTTTTCTTTCTTTTGAAAATTAGGCTATGTAGAATGGATAAAGAAAATCTATTCTTGGAGGCTATGTATGAATAAGACCCAAGTTCCTTTATTATTAATCCTGAATAACCCATTAGAAGTAGGGACCTTCACTCATACCCAGGTTGCTTAAATCACAAATTAAATTCTGTAGGTATCGATGGGGTTAAGCTGAGGGATGGCCATCTCTTACTTGCCTATAACACAATCTCAAGAGGTGTGCTTAAAGTTGCCCTCTCTACTGATGATGGTGATTCATGGAATGAAGCATTGACGTTGGAAAATAAGGAGGGGATGGAGTTCTCCTATCCAGCTGTTATCCAGGCTAGTGATGGATTTGTTCACATCACTTACACATATAACAGAACTCAGATTAAGGTAATGAATTTTAATTTTCTTACCCTTTTGTGTATTTTGGCAATTTATTCATCCCACTAAGTTTACATGCTATTTTCCTGTCATTCGTATCCTGGAAATCACTGGAAGCTTCTCAGCGACTATAGATTTAACTTTTACTCTCTTTCTTTTCAACAGAACTTTTACTCTCTCTTTCTTTTTGACAGATTTAACTTTTTAACCAAAATTTCTTTTTGCAGCATGTTGTCCTTCAACCAACTTGATGCAGTGATCATGTGTATTCCTGTCAGTAGGTATCCATGCACAATAGAAGGTACATTCCTCTCAATCAGTAGTTTAGATGCTAATTACCAAGCTCTTTAAAGTTGGAGACTCTTTTGATTATTATACCATACTAAAACATGATACCATGTATGATGGCTCTCACTTTTGTTTGTAAACAATTCAACATTTCTGTTAATTGTTATATGCTGATCAACAGGGGAAAAAAATAATAATAATATTTTTGTTAATTATATAGGTATTGCCCTGCATTCTCAATGTCTATTCATGCTTTGCCAAATTTTTTCAAGGGAATTTATCATCTACTATTTGCAACGCGTATAACGTATGTGTGTGTGAGTAAACCCCTACATAGGAAACAAACAATTTATGTAGTTCAGTTATTCTTGGCTGTTCGATGAGGTTACACTTCTTTCTTGGGCAGGATGACTATTAAGATTCGAGATTGACCTCTATGTGATTGTGTTGACTGAGGAAGTGTCTGGGGTAGTATCTTGAAATCCTGTCAGCTTGGTGGATTGCAGGTATAACATGGAAGATTTGTTGTGTGGTGGATAAAACACGCTAAATGGAAGAACGTTCACTCGCTAGTTGTGCAATTCCAGTTGTTGAATTCAAGTTCAATAACATGACTGCAGATTTTTTCCTTTTTTAGTTAATTTCAGTTGTTTTATATCATATTTAAGCACTCAATGTCTTTACCCGGAAAGAAAAGCTATGCTTCTGTAATTCATACGGGAGGAGCCCTGTACCAATGGAATCGGTTTTTGTTTCAAGGAAAAAAAACCAAGAATATATAAAGGATTCGTGGATTTGAGTAAAAAGATTTTGAGTCTTGAATTTAAGTTTTATAAACAAAGAAATGAATATTGTTATAGGATTTAATTTGATTTAATTCTAAATTAATTAAAATTTAACGTAACTTTAAAGAGATTAGTAAAAAAAATTCAAGAATATTCAGGTAGGAGTGAACTCAATTGTCCCTTTGCATATCAGGTGTGCAATTGGACAACTCAATTATAAATTTGGTGGCCTCCAAATCCTCTGTTCCACGTGAATCCCCGCTTGCAATCAACATGAAAGGACAAAACATAAATGAGAATCCAAGTGTTTCACGAAGTTTGACCAAAATTGAAGAATACAAAAAAAGGGTTGTGGCTCCTGCAGTTTGTCCCAAAAAGGGTTGTGTTTCACATGGTACATCATGGTAGAAGAGAACTAATTTTATTTTACATTCCAACTTAAAACTTTTATTTCATGTGAAGGTCAGATATTTATATTTTTATGATATCAAACAATTAATTTTTTAATGTATAAAAAAAAACTTTAAGATTTATTATTATTATTAAAGAAGAGATCTACTTACATATTATATTTATATAAAATTTTAATCATTTTTTTACTTTTAATGGTTAAAATTTATCATGATTTTTTAGATAAAAAATAATTATTTTTAATAAATACAAATAAACCTCAATCATTAAAAAAAAGACATAAATAATTGAGATTTTAAATAGATATAATGCATAAAATTTATATGTAAGTGAATCCCTACCTTATTATTATTATTATTATTTATTTTTCTCCTTCGGGAATACCATCGGTTCTTGTCACTAGTATTTGTTTTTGACAAATATTCTCAAGTGCTGGACAAACTACTTGAGGCTCATCTCTTCAAGGGCTAGTTGGGCTTCTTTTGCGTCAAAACAGAACTTTTATACCATTGCATAATTTGCACAGATATGCTGATGCTGCGTTTGATTCCCAGGCCTGTACTCATGCAGGCTCATTATATTTGGGAAAATGGACAGTCCAAAAGAAACGTAACGAAAGTCTGAACGTACGCAAGCTACTTCAATTGAAATCTCCACTAAATTAGAAGTTATTAACAAAAGAATGTTGAATTGGTAATTAATTAATACTAATTAAAAAATTTTATATTTTAATTTGGAGTTGATTTAAGGAATTTAAACCCCTACAATACTACTAATAAAAACTAATTCTTGAGACAAATTTTTGTTTATCAATTAGATTTTTAAGAAAAAAAACACTTTGAACCAATGTCATTTTGATAAATTTTTATTAAAAATATTGAAATAACTTATTTTTAAAACAGAAATAAAACTAGAATAGTGAAATAGTTTGGAGAGGTTCTTTTTTTTTTTTTAATTTTTTAGAGGTCTCAATGGATAAACAATTTTCTCGTACTATAAGAAAAAAAACACTTTGAACCAATGTCATTTTGATAAATTTTTATTAAAAATATTAAAATAACTTATTTTTAAAACAGAAATAAAACTAGAATAGTGAAATAGTTTGGAGAGGTTCTTTTTTTTTTTTTAATTTTTTAGAGGTCTCAATGGGTAAACAATTTTCTCGTACTAAAAAAAAAAAAAAAAGTTAAAATCAAACCACCACTTGGGCAAAAAGATAAAGGGGTCCCTTAATTTTAGTGGTAAGAAACAGAGGCGCGACAAATTGGAGGTCATTTTTGGCTGCCCATGTTTTTGTCATAAATTGTATGGTAGGAGAACAAGAAAAAGAGAATGTAATGCTTGTTGGGTCCAGTTTCCACATTAATTTTTCTAATTTGTTGGGTCCAGTTTCCACATTAATTTTTCTAATACAAAAGCTGAAACTAGGAAAAATAGTTTTCTGAAATTGTAAAAAGTTTACTTCTAGAATTTCAAAGTTAGTGACGAATTACCAAAAAATCTCACTTTATGTATAGTATCTTTTATATGAGTTTCAGCAAGAGCTAATATTCTTTCTCCGTATGATGTATTTTAAACTCTAAACCCATAGGTAAGATCATGCACAATTCTAATACGTGGGAAAATAAGATGACTTAACAGGTGACATTAGAGGTTGAGATGGCAGCCAAATATGATATTAGTGGCTGAGTTGGCAAATTAAGTAAAATTAGTTTTACTAATGTCGTTTTATGTATGGTCTGTTATTGTCTACTTAGTAGGTTTTGATCTCTGTTTTAAGAAAAGTATTTAGGGACAACTCTGACCATTTTTATAAATGTGAAATTAATTATCCTTTTATATTTATTTTTCTTTGTTTCTCTTTAAGCTCTATTTATAATTAATATCTATTTGACTAACATATCAGAAATTATCTTCTCCTTTATTTGATTTCCCTTATATTTCTCTACTCTGTTTGTGGCATCAAATTCTACTACCAAATCACATCACATGACTTATAACTCAAACATATTCTTCCTAAATAGAAGTGAAAAGAAGAAAAAGAGAGAGCCATTTTTCTTTGATGAAAACAATTGGAGCCGACGGAAGGCCGGCGGCAATCCCGGAGGATGTATGTAATTGCTGGACAGAATCCCCCTCTACTTTTTGCATTAAAATGTAGGGTCGGTTATCCCTTTCTAACTCTCTCGTGCATTTTCCCAAACATTTAATGTGCCAAAAAGGCAATTGAATTCCGAGGCCCAGCATCTTCCAAACCCACATCCAAGGGCAAACAAAAAGTCCAAATTCACACCTCTATAGACAGTACAATACACTGACTACATAAATGCTGGGTGGGTTCATCATGTATAAAGAAAGTGAGAAAATTACTAAAAAATTCTTGCAGTTTCTTTTGTTTCGCATGGGTACTTTTGAGCTCTGAAAAAAGTTGTTCAAAAATCAAAATATTCATTGCAGGTTCAAAAAGAAGAAATAAATAAATAAGTTGTTCAAAAGACGTTGTCTTTGGCCTATGTGCCATCCTTTCTGGGGGTTAGGATAGGAGTCAGCTTTGCTATTGTCACAGTGTATGGACATGGACGCATGTTTGAAATGTCTTTTGCAAAGAAGCAAACAAAAAATCAAGTAGTGGGATTTTCATTCATCTTGCCTTCTTCCTACTTGTCGAATTCAATGAAGCTGTAACTGCAAGAATTTGTTCCTCTGTTGCTGGTCCTGTGCTGGGGCAGTCTTTGCTTCTTGCTTTTAGGAACCTACACACTCAATTCATCTCATGTACATAAAGTTAAAAGGGCTCTGTAGATTCTGTTGCTTTTACACTGATCTGAATTTGATTAGAGATTGACTAAGTATACATTAATTCATATTATGAAATTTTGCTGTAAGATAAGATTATTGCTTTGTTGGATAATTTTTTACATAAATTTTTTTTATGTGACACTTTATTTGCAGTTATAATGCAACATAACATAACATTAAAAAAAGAAGTATATATATTTATAACAACTTCAATTTCAATGTTGTTATTATTATAGTGGTTCAATATGGAACTATTATTACTATTAACAACGATTTCATTAATTAAATAAAGGTAATCACATGGTGATTGATTAACAAGAATCTGGAGAAATATGTTTGGATTATTTTGGACCACCACAAAGAAGGTGACTCGCCAACCAAAGGCAACAAACTGACTTTACATTATTCTCTTTCAACATGTAAATTACCAACAGAAGCAAACTCTGAGCCTTTTTCTGGTGCCTCCTTTTCCTCAGATTCTTCACACTTAAAGATTACTTTGTCTCTCGCCACACTATACTCTTCAGTTGCTTGATTCTATGTATTAAGATTTTTTCTTAGAAAAGTGACCATTTGATTAAACTTTAATTAATATAAAACCTTAATCAAGGGGTCGACTCCTATTGGGTTTGTTAGTTGAAGCATTTGGTTAATTAATTCCCTTAATTAAGTGTTCATATAATATAATTAGAGTTTGTATTTTCTTAGCCGTTTTGTTGACTAACATTAATCTTGGATAACATGCAAGGTAATAAAAAAATAAATCCCTCTAGCCCTCATTATGAAGTTTTGGCTATCCGTCTCTAGCTTGCTTACTTTAATTAATCGTGAAGCCAACAAAAAAAAAGTTAATAATAATAATTAACTGTGCATTTGTTCAATTCAAGTTTTATTCGTGATGAAGGTTTGATTTTTTTTGAAGAGATAGGTAATTTCTTATCATAAATGCTTTAATTTCAATAAAAATAACTTAATTAATTTTTTAATTGAATTGTGAAAATGAAATTAGTAATATGATACATGAAAGTTAACCCATGGTTTCGTGCTATGCTACAAAAAACAAAAGGTGACATAAATTAAGGTGATATAATCCAGACAGTCAGACACAAGTCTGTAGAAACTTAGAAGGTGATTTTTTTTTTTTTAGGATACAACAATTAAATACTTGATAGTATAAAAATTTAAATGATTAATTTTAATTCATTAAAAATTTTATATTGATGGGTATTAATTAATTTCAGCAAGTTGTTGAAGAAACTTAATTAGAAGGGGATGCACCTAAGCACCTTGTCTTTCTCAATGTTCCCCTTAGGCATTTAATCTATAATTCTATACTACATGCCCATTCTATAATAAAATATTAAAAGATTTATTTAATTTGTACACTAATAACATAAGTTAAGAATATAATAAATATATTTTTTATAATTTAAAAAATCAAAATAATATAATACAAAAATAAAAATAAAAATAAAAGTAAAGTAAGACATATGAGTTAAACAAATTACAAATACAATAATAACAATTCAAATAAATAATAAATTCTAAATTAAACATACGATTATGTACAATAATAACAATTGATA